GTGTGTGTGGAGCAGGAGGAAACGGCTGAACACTTAATACTTTTCTGTAAAGGGCTTCACCCAACAGTTAACAGTGACCGGGCGGATTTAATCAAAGCATTGGGTTTTAAAGACAGTGAAGGAAAAATAGACTTTACACGGGTAGAAATAACCAAGCGGAGGTTATCAGACTGGTGGCTAAAATCGAGGCAGGGGTGAGATTTAATCTTGGAATTCAAAACATATAATTACATTTATAATGTTGGCTAGGTGGCGCAAGCCACCGCCCGATTCACAGGGTTTAGCCAGATCCATCCATCCATCCATCCATGCCCGTCCTGTCACTCTATGAAAATGACTCCGTCGTGCATCTTTGCGACGGTTAAAAAGCATTCGAATGTAAGAAATAAAGTACGTGGACTACGAAAGGTGTGCCTTTTTATTCTTTCCTATGTCGGGCAGTTTTTATCGGGCACCTGTTCTCCGACTTCTCCCTATTTGCAAAGATTTGGAGCGTACGGTTGATGATTTGAACCCAGAACATGCATCTTTGCACATATTCATGAGCAGAGAGAATAAAGCAGTACTTATTTATTGCAAATCGAACTATATTACGTGGCTTTCAATCTATTTTGATCGCCTGCATGCACAAGGAGTTATTTGTCCAGTGTTAATGCGTAGTTCTTGCCGTCTCTCTTGGTTTTCCACGGGTCCTTTGTTGGTTTGACACGTATATCCCCCATGGTGGAAAGCGCCGATGCCGTGTTCGCGCTAACAGTGTCCGACAGTGCACAAAAATACATGTACGAAGCGGTTTTAGCACCGTTTTTCATGCCACGAATTTCAAATAAAAACGCCGTAACTGACCCATTTTTTCGTCTGCGTGACCGAGAAATGTTTCAATGTGTCAGTACGTACGAAATATTCGTGATATTTGCTCTTATAATCGAGCGCAGCGAGAAAATGCACTCGCTTTTTTCCATAGAAATGCATTACCGGAAATCAATTTCCGACTGGTTGCTGTCTGCTTCAATTTGCAGCAGCACACTAGCGCCACTTGAACCTCTAGCGTACATTATAATAACTCTATGGGCGCTAGTGTCTATGCGACTTCCGTGACGCAAATTGAAGCAGACAGCAACCAGTCTACTTTTGCGGTGCTCCTGTGCATTCCTATGGGAAAACGCGCGTGCATTTTGTCTCTTCGCCGGAAAATAACACGGAGCACTTTGGTTATTTGAGTCGTACCGAATAGTATGTACCTCGATTAACATTGTAAAAGTGTAATTGCTTTCGTTAGCGCATTTTTATTCATCAGTGAACAATGTTTGACTTCGCTACATTTCAGTCCCAAGGGTGTGTTCCGCAGCAGGTGTGTAAAAACAAGCGGCGATTTCAAGCAAAATTACAATCGAAAGAAATATAGAGTGTGTTCAAGGCTCGCCAGCATTCCGGTGACGCTTATATATTGATAATATGCCAGTCCTGTCACTACATGAAAATGACCCCTTGATGCATGAGCGGATAAAAACTTTAAAAACGTCGAGAGAATAAAGTACATGGGCTATGAAACATGTCTCTTTCTATTGTTTTGTCTGCCGGGCAGCTTTTTTCGGGCACTTGTTCTCAAAGATTTCGAGCGTGCCGCGTGCGGGTCATATATTGAACGTAGAACAAACATCTACGCTCAGAGCAGAAAGAATAAAGCAGTGCGTACTACTTATTTAAAGGGCAACTCCGCTCAATTCCGAAAAATTTAGGCTTCCATGTGATTCACATTCACAAAGCACTACTAAACAACTCTACGTCTTCGGATTCGCGAAATGTGGAATATTATTTGTGTAATCCTAATTTAAACATCACCAGATACCGAAACCGAAACTTCGGTTGCGTCAGGCAACATCGGTCTCGGGTCGTCAGAGTCATGGCCATGTCACGTCGAACCACGTGGTCTTGTGACGTTCGGGAGGGAGCGAGAAACAGGACACGCGACACGCGACGCGGGCAGGATTTTTTTTTTTTTTTTTTGACGCGGGCAGGTCGCTTTGCATGGCGTGGACGGTGATGGCCCGGGGGAGAGCGGAAGGGGAGAAGACGAAAGTGGAGAAGGGGAGCGGAGAAACAGACCGATAAGCGCGCAGGGCAGAGCAAACTAGCGCATCCGTGTTACGGTGATCACGTGAACGTCCGGTCAGCCAACACCGGGAAGAGAAACTCATGACGTCATCGTTCAATTTCGTTCTGAGAAGTAAAAACAAGCAAAACGCGAGAATGACGTAGTCACGCCTCTGACGTAGTGGTTCAACGTTGGCCGCTCCAACTCCGTGGCATTGACTGCGCTGATGGTTGCGCCTCGCGCCACACGCTAGAGTTGGCAGATTTCGGCGACTTGGCTCGCTTGAAGGTTTGCTGGCCAGTTTATTAGGTATATCAACGGAATTAGATCGTAATATTTTACATGGAGTCTTCCTATATGATACTGAAGAGGGCTACATAGTTTTCTAAATATCAAAAATGAAGCGGAGTTGCCCTTTAAAGTCGAATATATTGCGTGGCCTTCAATTTATTTTGATTTTACATGCACGGGTAGTTACTGATCCAGTGTTACTGCGTAGTTCTTGTCGTCTTTCTTAATTTCCAGATGTTCTTCGTTCGTTTGGCACGTATATCCCCCACGCTGAAAAGCGCCGACGTCGTGTTCGTGCTAACAGTGTCCGACAGTGCACATAAATACACGTGCGACGCCGTTTTAGCACTGTTTTTAATGCGATGAATTTGAAAGAAAAACGCCGTAACTGACCAATTATTTCGTCAGTCTGACTGAGAAATGTTCCAAGCTACCTAGTACGTACGAATTATTTGGGATATTTGCTCTTATGATCGAGCGCAGGGAGAAAACGCACTCACTTTTTTTCCATAGAAATGCATTACCGGAAGTGAAATTTCGACTGGTTGCTGTCTGCTTCAATTTGCGTCAGCACACTAGCGCCACTTGAACCTCTAGCGTACAGTATAGACCTTTTCATCCTCCTCCGCATGGGCGCTGCCATCTTGGAACCACGTGACGCGGCAGCCATTTGGTTGCTTCAACTTGCTGCTCCGCTCTCCCCTCCGCGAATTGGCGGATGCGTTATACCCGTGTTTTTCGTTGCGTTTCACCGCGCTTTCTTTCCTTAAGTTCGGAAACTACTCCACGACTAAGACATCACGAGGGTTCAAAGGTCCTTATGAAACCGAGGTTTATTAACTAATAGTGACGGAACATTCTCAGTAAGAAGCGCGTATATTTATATTGCGCATTTAGGATCGGAAGGCGTCAATAGTCAGCGCAAGGAGACTATCTGTATTTCCTGAAAGTATCATTCTTTGTATTCATAGTATATCAAAAACAGTTTGTTTTGATGATGTGAGGAAACTCGTGGAGGAGATAGACGACGAGCGTTTAACTTGCATTTTATTTGAGGCTAGAAGTAATGGTACGTCAACATCAGACGATTTGTCTGTTCATAATATCACTCCTACATGTGTATGAGGTTCTCAATCTTTTTTTTTTTTTTTTTTTGCGGCGTAATCACTTGGTTGGTCGGTTTACTTATGAAGTTTAAGAAATTGTATACTGTGCTCGCTCCCATTTCGAGTCTTTTATTTTAACACAAAGGTTGGGTCTTCCCGCGTAAGAAACTTCCACAGACACTTAACAGTAGAAACTTCATTTCTATTTGCAAATCTAAAACGAAGTTTGGGTTCGGCGCATGGGCAATAATGACAACGCTTTTCTTTTTTCTTTTTTTTTGCGTACGTTGTTTTAACTTTTGCCAGTATCTAAATACCACAATACTTCACGCCGAAAAAAAAAGAGCCGTTTTTATAATAATTATTTGAGTCCAGGATTGTCGATGGCGACTAGAGGTTTAATTTTAGTGGCTGGCGATGCCGAAATTTACTACGCGAATCTGTTCAAACAAATAAATATTTGTTAACAAAGGTCCGTGAAGTGGCGCCTAGCGCTAGAATTCAGTAAAACTTTCCGAGGTATTTCTCCTCCTGCGCCCTTTATCTTTATTTCGCCAATTTTGCGGGAGACAAATGCCAGATTCAACTTGACGGACCTGTCACTTACATCATATCTTGAGTAAGCAAATGTTAATATAAAAATAATTTATTTCCTAGGGCCTATATCGCGAAATGCTCCTTATGAGTACTTCAGCAGTGTTGATAATTTTAGAAATTTCCTACTCGGCCTGTCAAAAGATGCTCGAGTATTGAATTACAAAAAAGAGGCCGAGACGATACTACTTTTTTATATCAATTACCTGCGTCATTACACGATACGGTTTTGGTCTGCGTATTTAACTAAAGGTTGGGTGCCCACGAAAACCAAACAGTGAGTAGTAAACTCGCGAGTTCATCTGTTCTGGCCGATTCAGCACATCGCTAATCAAGCTGTCGATATGCTTCTTTATATTAACGTGTTAGTCTCTTCATTGGTTGTCTTTACTGGAAACTAGTGTCATCGGGTACGGCCGTAGACGATGGTAATCTTCCCTGTACATCAGTCAGATGTTTCGCAAGCGACCATAATCAGATACATCAAAGGGGTCAGAAAAACAAAGCCCACAATTAAGGCTAAAATACACCTCGTAGTCCTCAAAGTGGCTAAATACCACGGTTTCATTGGTTGTGTGCCACAAGGAAAATAATCGTATCACAAAATTAAGCAAAAACAACGTAAAACAGCAACACAGACGCGTTTACGTTGAAACCGAAACCCACCAAATTGAAGCAACTTAATGGCGCCGACTGCGTCCGCGCCCTCTATCCGCCTGTGAGGCAACCACTAAAATGAACTCTATGATTACGGCTTTTGGCTATTTCCCGGGTACCCTTTTATATGTTTACAGCTCAATGTATCTAACAAAATATCAGAAAGCAAAAATCTTGAAAGAATGCACAATATCACCTTCCATTTCTCAACTTTTTAAAAACGAAACCTCTGGGGCGTCTTTGCGTCCTCATATGTCGAATCCATTGGCCAATCCAGTTAGAATGGCGTCTCCCACGTTTGTCCGCTCGTGATCTATTATTTCTGCCTAATTTAATAGTTTTAGCTTGGCAACGCAGTGCACTTGATTGATTTTTCAGTATTCGCTGTTCCTTTAGGTAAGTTACAATTCGGAACTTTGGCAATATTCAAAATTCGAACAGTTTAATGTGCGTGACCTCAAGCTTGTTGAGTAACGTGCAAGTTTCATCCGGTGGTCTACCATCTGACGGAAACGAAAATTCATCTCCATTTGATTTTTCCGTTTTGTAGGTCAATCATGCGTAAACCCGCACTACGCCGAAGCGTCTGGGGACCGATCGTCATTGCCGCTGCGATCGCAGAAACGGCAGCCTTCGGCGTGAGCTACTTCTACTACCGACGGCTGAACCACTCGCAAGGTGCAACAAACTAGCCAGTTCTTTCTTTTTTTTTTTTTTTTTGGGGGGGGGGGGGGGGGGGGCAGTTTTGTTTGTAATGAAACTTTGATTGGGTTTAGTTGGTTCATATTATTTTTTAGAGTGGCGCACCGAGTGCCTAAAGGGAGTTGTCTTGGCGTCGGCGTGCATCCTTTTCGAGAAAAAATGTGACATACAGCTGTGATAATACCGCACGCAATGCGTGGAGCGGCGTTTCAGCTCATATTGGCTGCAATAGCACAGCCTCCGGGTTTTTTTTTTTTTTTTTTTTTTTTTACAATATGTGTAAAGCTATACGCACTCCGGAGTGCACTTCGGACGGAATGTCTATACGCACTCCGTGGAGAGCTCATGCCGCGTAGGCCACCCTTTTCGATCGGCGCGGGTATCACTGGGGAGCTCGTTAACACAGCCCCCCGCCTGCGTTCACGCCGCTTCGCGGCGACCGTATGCGGCCGCTAATTACAAAACTTCACCAGTACACGCCGCTTCGCGGCGTCCACCCAAGCTCCGCCGTCCCCGATCGCACCTCCGGAAAGGGAGTCCCATACCATTCAGTTCTGCGAAATTTCGTCGACAACATCCGGGTTTTTTTAGTGTTCATGCAAAAAAGAAATGTGAATATCAAACACCTCGACAAAACAAAATGTTTGAGAAAAAAATAAAAAAAAAGTAGGCTCACCGGAGATCGAACCTGCGTCCACTTGCGTATAAAGCAGACACCTTAACCGCTACGCTATGCCATCGCTCAGGAAACTCGTTGTGACCATTTGTTTTATATGAGTTTAGGGGAGTGCGTATAGCCATTCCGTCTGAAGGGCACTCCGAAGTGCGTATAGCTTTACTCTTACAATATTACGCGAACGCTAGCCGGCCGGTAGATTAGCGCTTTATCGCGGCGTGACGGAGCAGGTCAGCGACATGACGACGTCGAACACCGGTATCCACCATGGTGGTGGTTGACTCGACGGCCCTTCGCAGCGGGAGCAATGGTAAACTGCGCCGCGCTCGGCTGTAGCAATTACTATGTATCCCGACGATCGTTTCGACGGCATGCCCCGTGAGACAGAGTAGACGTCAAGTTAGAGAAAGTACAAGCGGCAGGAAAGGGATGCGGCCGCGGATTACCGAGTTTGCGGGACGCATTTCATAACGGCGAGCGACGGCCCTTTTCTACCGTTGTTTACATTCACGCACACCTTTGCACCGGCTGTTGCCCGTTCGTGATGTAGACGGCCTTCGCCTTTCGTTACGTAACGCCGTTTCCACGCTTCGAGCACACCTTCGGGGCTCCCGGTTGAGTATGGGCGATTGTCGCAAAGCGAGCCTGGCCCGATGGCGATCGGTCGGCGGCAGCCCCCGTGTGCAAACTCGCCGAGACGCCGCCACCGGGGCATCGGTTTGTGCCGTCTGCAAGACAGTAACCTTTACAAAGAGCGAAAGTATGCAGGCGAGCCAGTTAGGAAACTTCATATAATAAACCCTCCGTTATTTGATTTGTCCTTCTCTCAGGGTCTAGATTGTGATCATAACCTTGCAAATTGTTTACCAGTATTTCCCAAGATCATAACAATTTTTCTACAAGTGACTTCTAGAGCTGCCCGTATTTTTGAAGCACGCAATTCAGATTTTCTTTTCTGTGACACGACAGTTTTTTTTTTTTTAAACTTCGTCGGCGGCATATGGAAACTTTCTGCTCGTAGTGCGATCGCACCTACGCCGACAAATTTTGCACGTACTGGCTAAACGTCATCATCGTAAGCTCCGCACGTTTGTTCCAAGTTTACATGTAACACAACTAGGTACCTTTGTTGAAATTATGGTGCATGTCAGTGCATGTCCGGGCAGTTAGCGGCATCCTACGCCTTAGTAAGCGCATCTGCACGTTGTGAAGTCAACCACCAGCATGGTGCGGGGCCCCGTTCTTCCCTATCGTGACGTCACTTGTGAGTCATGTGTAGTAAGTTACAGGTCAAGAGGGTAACGGCAAATGCCCCTCAAAGTGATTCATATATCCCTCCGCCACTTCCGCATCCGTTCCCGTGATGTCGCGGCCAATGCGGGAGGGGTGTCTTGCCTTCCTGTAAATATTTGCCTTATCTTTCGACTTTGACTTAGCGTTGTGGAAGCCACGAGAGGGAGATTAGAGTTTTCTCCCTTCAATGGAAACAAATACGACTTTCGGGGGTTAGGTTCCACCTCCGAAGGATACAAAGGCTGCTCTCAGGGGCTCGGTTCTCTCTCCGATGAATAGAAAGGTCGCTTTTTAAAAAGTGGGGGTCAGAGACAAGTTGGCATCACTCTGTAGCCAATATTTATCCATTGAAGCGGAACAATGCGCGTTTTCAGTGAACTATTCTTTCGACTGCGGAGAGATTTGAAACGAGTGCATCACGCTTGTGGGAGGAGCTTCTCCTACCTTCTTTACTTGTAACCGACTATAGCCTCGCTGACTTGGCTGTTTCACGCCGTGATAGGGCGCTGATCTACCGGCCGATTGGCGTTCGTGCGAGTGTTAAAAAATCTGAAGGCTGTGCATACCTGAAATAGAGCACGCGAATGTCGTTTTGCAAGAAGTTTCATGTCGATTTATTTGTGAGCTCAACTCAGGTGGAGAAGTATTAAAAAGATGTTTGCACACTGGTTTGCAAGCTCACTCCCTGGCGGCTTGCTGAACACAAAAACTCTGAAGATGCCAATGTAGAGGCTGGCGACCAGCTGGATAATAGCGATAAGCAATACTTGTAATGAGTTATTGAAAGCCATTTTTGTGCACAAGAGGCCGGTTGCACGACCAATGCTCTGTGGGTGGCAATAAGAGTCGAGTGGGAGACCTCGTGCGTGAGCTGAGCCGGTGGCTTGCCTCTGCGAGTCTCTGCCACAATGCAGGGAGCAAGTCATTGCAGTGAATGTTAATTTTACTGGTCATTAGGCAGTTCAGTTGCAAAGGTGACCTTGTGGGTGCATATGCTGTTTCTTATGTGATTAAACTCATCACAATCTAACTCTCTGTTCGATCATTTACTATGATGCGATGCGTACCACGGATAATATTCTCTTGTAGAAGGAGCCTCCGCCGCCGACCCTTCAGATTTGCTAACTCTAACGCATTTGAAAAGTGCCAGAAACGAAAAGCAAATTAAAAAAAAAAAACAATGAGCAGGTGCCGTGCCATTGGGGTGCTCAGCAGTGCATATCCTGTGGTTTGGAAACTTTTGTCCCCGACTGTACACCATATCACATCCTAGAAGTGCGACAATGATTCCCATTCGAATGATGCTATGTCCCTGAAAGATTGTTTTGAATGATTTCATGGCCCGTAAAGCTAACCACACCTTTGTCACACTTTCAGAGTACAGATACTGGATGTACCAGAATTTCAAGCCTGGATTGGAATGTGAGTTGAATTGCATTTGTGGCAGTGGCCACAACTACTTGTTCACTAACAGCTTTTCTTTTGTGCTAAGGTTGGCATGCCAGGAAAAGCTTCTTCCAATTTGGTTCCTAAACCTAAATTGTGCATGTTGGAGATTCAAAATAGTACTGACAGAAACTATAAGAAACTTAAAGCAATCGACTGACGGGCTAAACTTTGGTTAGCTTTAATGAGTGGCAGAAATTCTACAATGTAATTTGAAGATAGTTAATATAATTCTCCCCATCACCATGGACTGAAGCAGCTGTTGCATGCCACCTAAGACAATCAGGTAGTTGTTTCCAGTTCTAGTTAATTCTGCATGCCTTACCACATACCATCCTTCCTTGCTAGAACGACTACTTGGGATTCGAGCTTCAAACCATATCAAGAACCCAGCAATTTTGATTTCAGTGCACAAGTTCCAAAAAGGTTACAAAGATTAACCCCCTGGAAATAAAAGGGTGGTGTAACTATTTTTAGAATTTGGCCAATTAACTCTGGGAATTAATCTGTGTCACCTTAAAAACAAAGAAATGAAAACAGTTTTTTTTTTGTGTACGCTAGCAATTATTTAAAAAATAAAACAAATCAAAGGTCGAAGTGCTTCTTAATGTTTACGCTGCCTTTCGAGTGACAGCATGGTGGCCCACGTGGTTTTCCGCTGAGCCCTCGGCCACTCCCTCTGCGATGGTCGACTTTTCAGGGGTTGCCATCGCTGAAGGTCGTGGTGAGCGATTGAGACGAAAGACGGTTCGCCACAGGGCTGATGGCGAGTGTAGCAGCAGAGGGGAAGAGGTTTTGTTGACTTCCACGTGTACTCCAGTCACGTGACATTGTGTTTCTCGTAACTGCCACACGTGGCTGCAGATGGGCAAATATTTAATTTTTACATTTTTTTTCAGGGGGGGCGGGGGAATGTGGCACTTCTTTTCTCACTCGGGCCATTATAAACAATATAAAAAAAATACAAACTTAAAAATATTTAAACATTAAAGAGGCACTTCAACGAAATTCGAAATATACCCGTCGTGTTCAAAGATAGAGTCCTAGACGGGCATTGCAAATGAGGCGTTAGCGACATCTAGGAGATGCTCTTTGCTAATCGTTTAATTGGTTTTACAATTCCTTTTTGTGACTTTTTTAACAAGATATTGGTGTGTTCGATGTGATACTGCCCCCTTCAACACATGGACCAAAAAATAAGCGCCAAAATTTCATTGTGGTAGCCCTTTAAAATAGTTGCACTGCCCCTTTCGTGTGTGAAATGAATTCGCAAATTTGTATCGGTTTGTGTGCTATTTCGTAAAATGATTACATGAGAAAGCCTCTAGAGAAATTTCAAATCCATGTGACATTACATTTTATTCCATCTGGGTAGGTCCCAGCAGCACGGGGCTAGCGGCAAGTGATTGTTTTGCAAAGGCATACATATTGTTTTATGGAATGGTATACATGTGCATACCTATCATTTTGCAGAACTGTATCGGTCTATATGCTTCCTCACAAAATGATCACTCGAGAAAGCCTCTTAAACAGGCCCCTTATCCACGCGATATTAAATTTTCCGACACCTGAATCGGTCTCAATGATACGGGCGTAGAAGCAAATCATTGTTTTGAACGTGCATGCATATTGTTTCAGTGTACTACAAGACTGGAGAGATACTGGGGGACAGCAAGGTCCGTACCTACGACTACAGTACCTGGGGAGTGAACGAGTAGTACCTGCCAGAGAACAGGGGCCTCAATCGGCTGTACAGAAACAACTGGGCATTTCCTGACGGGGAGTTCACGAAGGCTGATATGATCTAGGAAACGTGGAGCATGCAGCTCTCATGTCGGGCACTGTGAATATCATACCCGGACCCCCATGTGTGCTTGTAAAGTAGTATCTAGAGGTACATGGCAGAACACTCAGCACAAATGTGACATTGGTGCTTTTTTGCAGAGTTTGTCTACCTGTGTATAAAACACTGGTCTAAATAAAGAGTGAGAAAAATAACTTTTTGAACTCCTCTCTTATGTGGACATGCCCATGTTTTGCTTTTTTTGAGGGGCATATCCCATGGGGTAAAAAAAAATGCCCTTCCCAAAGTGTGCGAGCAAAAGCTTGTGGTACAGAACCCAAAGGTCTTGGCGTCGATCCCTGCCCCTACCCGTTTTGATCTGGATGAACATTGTACCGCCATGCATTTAAGCAATCACCGAAGTGTTATAATTAGTAATGATAATCTATTTCGTATTTCATATTTTGAAACGAGAGACAAGAACAAAAAGCAGTGACGAATGCACGACCCCAGGTTAGCAGTGTTGGTACCTCACTAGCTTAATGCCTTTACTACACTGAACCAATGTTGCCATATGCCAAATGTTTTGTCAGATTGACCCCTTGCTGTTAAGTCACTCAACATCTCTTCCTTCCCTTTTCATTGAATAAACCCCCTTCCTTCTGTAACTTCTTTTAACCTCCTGAAATGAAGTGACCGCAGTCAGATTGAATGCATCCGAGGCGAAATCATTCTTTTTTGGTCGGGGAGCAATGAGCAGCTTATTCCCAGGGCTCGACCCATTTTGTACACAGCAGCAGATGAAAGGGGGGGCAGGGAAGACGACTGCAACCCCTCGGCCCATAAGGGTGGCATTTTTTATGGAAAAAAGAAAAGGTTATACAAATGCTTCATTCCTGCTGAAATGGTGATCAATTTTCTCGACGTTAAACCTGTGCCATGCTACATCTCTTTGAGATACACCCCCCCCTTCAAAAAAGAATAAACAACCCGACCCATAAATCTGCCCGTTCAAACACGAGTGGAATGAATGTGCTCGATTATACAGCGGAATTTCGTTAATTGGAAACTCGAGGGGGATCCAAACTTTGCTCGAATAATGCAAAGTTCGAATTACCGGGAGTTTCCTTCCTAGAAACACATGGGACGGGTTCTGCATGTTAGTTTGAATTACCGAGATTCCACTGTATTTGGGGTACTTGTGTTTTCCTTGCAGATTCTTTCATTTTTGGAGCTGTTGGTAAAATTGTGCGGTCTGTATACTTGGACAGCGGGAAGTGGGCCCCAAGTGCGTCTGGTGCTTCAGCTGCAAACGAGAAATCTAGCCAGTGCAGCACCACTGCTAGCCACGGGCCTTTAACGTGCGTCACGCAGTAAACTCACAGACTACTTTCTGTGGCTATGCAGCCAAAACTACGGGTGCACGTGCACCTTGAGCGTCTATCAAAGCTGTGCACGTGCAGTCTTCACTTCCGAAATGCCACAGCAAGTTGTCTGCCAGTATAGCGACGCACGACCACACGCCTGAACGCTGTTCATCTAGAGAGGAACAGGCAAGGGGGGGGGGGGGGGGGGGGGGGAATTGAACCCAGGAACCCTGGGTTCTGCAGTGTGACACTGTCAGTGCGAACGTGGCATTGCCAATTTGTCCGATTTGACTTTGAAACGGTTTTGATGGGCAGCAAACATTGCCCTTTAGGTCAGTGCCCCAAATGAAGGGTGATCGGTTATTTAGTGCACACCAGCTAGTAGCACGCAAAGGCTCTCGCTACAAAACCCAGGGATTCGGGGATCAATCCCCACCCATACCCGTTTCGATCTTGATGAGCATCGTACCGGCCTGCGGTAGTGTCACTACTGCGTGGTGCATGTTAAAGACCCCAGGCTACCAAACGTACTGCACTGGCTAAATTTCTCATCTACATTTCGGAGACAAGCCGCTCGTCGAGGCAGACCAAGTTCTAGACTGTATAAACATACACACCCCAATTTTTTTTCTGCCCCAAATAAATATTTTTTGACACATATCGTAGTTTTATGGCAGCTTTCAATTCGAAGTGAAGAGCAGAGAAAACTGACAATTGTTTGTTCAAGCTGAGTATGTACCGTCTGTGAAAAGTACCGAACAATATGGAAGACCCATTTGACGAGGCAATTTCAGGCGGCTGCGCCAGATTCACGTCAATTGGAATGAGGAAATATATGAACCTTTGCTCTATTGTCCTAAAAATGAAGTGCCTCGAGCCAAAGAATGCTTACAGCCACCACATAGACTGCTTAGGTGAACGAGGCGTTCATACTGTGAAGTTTTTCTTTTTCAACCCAGCTCCGCAAGTCTGCAATATCATCCTGGTCCACAAAATAAAAGAGGCCTTAGGTTGCAACTCACTTTATTTTATGCACATTTCAAATGATGTAGCTGCAGCTACAGAAAAGAAGTTATACTCTCGCACATGCACACACACACTTGCACAGAGGTCGTTCACACTACAGTATAGGGAGTGCAAAAAGGAAAGCACCGCTCAGTTATATCCAAACATTAGATGCATCTTTGAGTCAAGTGCAAAAAGGAAAGCACCGCTCAGTTATATCCAAACATTAGATGCATCTTTGAGTCAGGCTTGCGTCTTGCCCGAATCCTCGGCCTTAGAAGTTCCAACTTTTGCTTTTCAAGGACTCTGGGGCTTCTCAGAACTGGCGGCAATTCTGAAAGAGGCACACTCGTTTTCTGCCAATTAAAAAATATTTATGTCCTGGAAGCAAGAAGTGAACAGCATTTTTTGTTCACATGCACAATAAAGGGAGAGCGAAAATTACGGAAGAAATACAGCTACACTTGGTAGCAACTTTCTGTGGCATTTCAGGACAATGTGCAGATGCACAGCTTTGGTCAGTCGACACTCAAGGGTCACAAGCACAGAGGTGTGCATAGTTTGGACTTAAATGGCACAGAAAGTTGCCTTCTTGATGGGCCCTGACTGGGGCTCCTGCGACCAGCCGCATGTCTCTTGAATATAAAAAAAAAAAAAAATTAAAAAAAAACTTATTTGTTGTAGGTTCTCTTTCTACAGGTCCGTTTATTCATTTACCGCAAAGGAACAAAGTAAATTGTACCTTAAATGTAAATAAAGACAAAGTCGACAAAACTTCAGCAGAAGCTCCTCCCACTTTAGCAGAGTGAACGCTGAAGAGGAGGTCACCTCTTCTCCAGTGTTTGCTTTGCCAAACTGACACCAAATATAGGCACAGCCATGCAGAAAGTTGACAGCTCCAATGTGAATGTGACATCTACCGGTTTCAAGGGCTCCATCACAACACTGGAAAGTCGCAGGATTTGAACTACCATTTTGAACGAGACGTACATGGACGAGGCTTTGGACAGACCTAGAGCGGCTGGTCGACCACACAGCTCAGAAAATGAGCAGCAAACTAGGGCAAGGCGTCGTTAGGCTGGTGAAGTTAAATCTTTGGACGACTGTAGCTGTCGAAACACCAACGTGCAGATTGGCACCAAATAAGAAATTGACATGCACGCGTGGGAAATACCAAGGGTAAACTAGATGCACTAAGATAGCTATGTTTCAGAGGAACGCCATAATGGGCAGTAGCTTACACCACCTAGCCTCGAAAATCAAAACTATGATTCCTCCTTCTCTCCCTCCTAAGCCAATTTACTTTTCCTCTGCATTTTCGAATGGCAACTATAGTCAATTGTTCCCGCACTGCACTGGGTCAGGAAATGGCATTGTCCGCAGAGTAATCGGGGAAGAGAGCGTCAATACTCTAGCCATAGCTTAGTGCTTTAGGGTACATTTAATAGGCTCGCTCGATTTACCTGCACCTGTGCAGGAAGTGCAGGTAAATCAAACGAGTCTATTGTATGCAAGTCTTGTTCACTGTGAGCTAAGCTTGTAAATTTGTTACTTGGGTGCTTGTATCATCACTAGCGCAGTAAGAGATGGCCGACCTGGTTGCTGCACAAAACTGAAGTAATCGACATGTTTTAGCACATACAAATCGCGCACCTGTGCGGATTCAGCGACATCACAAGGCATTAAAGAGCAAAGAATTTGGTAGACTAGGCGTTTGGAAGTTGGTAGTGACATTTTGACAATGGAGCTGAAAGTGAACATATTCCAACCTAAACAATGTAATTGTACAAACATGAAACTTAAATTTTAACAATGTTGCTTTGGCATGTTTGATTTCCACACAAAAATTCACATTTCTCAGGAAAAAGAGGCGTCTACTTTGCCTGCCCTTTAGAAGACATTTGAGATGGTTACACAAAATTCCCTGTACAAAGGAAAAAAAGAAAAAAGCAGTAAACTGAAAACATGCTGATCATAGACACAATGAATCAAAGCCGAAGGTATAAATAAGTAAATTTTGAATCTCTTGACACGCAATTGAACCTCTTCTGCAATAAGCCTCAATCAAAATGCGGACACTTCAGCCAGGACTCGAAACGAGACTAAAACTAATACTACAAGAACACCTTTGATGGGTTGCACTTTATCCACTAAAAATGAGCGAGATCGAGTGTTCTGCCTACCTCTAGTAAATTAGATGCTGCATTAACTTTGTAAAATGGTTCGCGTAACAACAAAAAAATCCAGTACTCCCCAATGAGCGCACCCGACGAGCTCATTCACTGCACCATTTGCGACCGTCTCCTCCTGTTCAGCCGTCTCACAATGTGCTTCTAAGGAGCAGGTTATCTGCTCAATCTGGGATGAAAGTCTGTGCTCCAAAATGACCAGTGGCAGTTGTCATCAATCTGAGCACACGCAGCTCTATGTGGCCAAGCACCGAGAACCCCAAAATGGTGAACAAGAGGCACGAGCCAATGCCCACAATTTATTGCACAGTGAAAACCACGAGGTGCGCGAGGGTACTCGCTCGATTAAAAAGTGTTCGAGGCAAAGCGACGACCCCAATGTTAAATGAATACAGCCAGGAGAGAGCAACTTTTCAAAAGAGCCGGCAAGTCGCCCTTTGACAAAAGGGTGTCAACGCAAAAAAGAAAAGGTGCACGAGTAGGAACTTAAAAATGGGCAGACGCACATAGAGAAACGAAACGCGTGTTCTGGTCTGGGACGGTTGACATCTTGAGCCGAGAAACTAGTCACGTGTAGTTGGAGAACTTTCTAGATGCACATACCGTGGCAAATCGCTCGGTTCACGAGATGTCGACTCTGGCATACACACACACACGCACAAAAAGATCCGATTTGGATTTGCTGCTGCATGACTATGATTCCGATCCGACCGGCCAACTTTCAAAATCCACTATTTACAGGGAGACTATGTGTAGACAGAAGGTGGCACGCGGCTAACAATGGACTTGTACTAAAGGACTCGAAGGAAACGTCTGCGGCCAATTGCCCTCTCGCGTTTAGGAGCAAAGGCACCTGTTATGCTCCCTTCACCCCTAAAAACTGAGCGCGACAGAAGCTCCACGCTCGTTGCCTCAATTGGCTGTCTGCCTTTTGCCGTCCGGCCCCTCTTTGCGCGTGGGTACGGGCAGATGCGCGATCACGTCGCGAACGACCGACGGCAGACGACTGGTCCAACGGGCACGTGGCTTCCTCCGCTCAGACGGCTTAGCGGTGTACGGAGCACAGAAACAAACCACTGTTGCCGCACTTTCTCATCTCTTGCACAGCAAGCACACAACCGTGAACAGCACGCTTATGCTGGAGTTAAGCCAAAGTCGGTGCCGCAAACCACCCAAGGTGAAATGGACTTGTTCGGCCTACCGTCTGTTGCACGTTAAGAAGAGCCCGGAAAGCCCCTCCCACAAAGCTTTCTAGTTGCCACGACTGGTGGTTTACTTCTCTCCAGCGTTTCCCGCCTTTCTCAACCCGCAACAGACCGTAGGTGGCCCGCAGCTTAACACAGCACGACGTGCCAAACTCGAGATCGCACAGAGGCCCCCCAAATCGAAACTTTCCCCGACACAAACAAATACTCCTCGATCTCAAACCGTCTCTAGCTCCGTACCCTTCAAACTTCCGAACGCTCCCCCACCATCCAGCCAGTCAGGGGGGGGGGGGCACAATTCATTTGCACGTTTATACTGCGACGACGGTTGCACTCGCGCAAGAGTCAAGACGGGCGTGGGAGCGAAGTCTTTTTTTAAACTCGGGAAGCGCATCCTGCGGATCACTTGGTGAGGTTGGTTTGCTGGAAGAAGGCGGCCATCTGCGAGCTGTAGCCCAGGCCCACCCCGCGGTGGGTGTGGGTGGACAGGCGTGCCGCCTCGTACTGCTGGTCCAGGTCGTGGAAGAGCTTCTCCTGCTTGCTCAGCAGCGGGTCCGAGCTGGGGTCTGCATCTGGGGGGGGCTCGCTGCGGATGCCCATCAGCTTGCGGAACTTGGCCGTCACCTTGCCCCCTTCGTCCTGGGCGAAGGTCATCTTCTCCCACACCTTGGCGCACGAGGACGCCGGCTTCTCCTGCGGAGACGATGCACGACGGCCGACCATGCTCATGTTAGATTTCTTTTAATATGAAGTGTGTGCTGCAGAACCTCAGAAGTATGTCTTTCAGCAAACTCAAAGAAAAATGGGCAATTCGCAAAAACCACACCATACGACAACGCTCCGGGCATACGACTTTGGTCACAGCAAGAGCAAGACCAATTTGTCTCTTGAGAAGCCAGTTAAAGGGGTAGTGCAACAATTTTTAAAATTAAAAAAGTGGCAGTTTGTATTATTTTATATTGTTTAAAAGCATTCCACCGCCGACAAACATGAAACAATAGCGATATCAAGAACACCTCAGCTTGCTATGAGTTCAGCCGGATGTACCTGTAGCATAGCACTATTCTGTGCGCTTATTTAACATACTCTTTAAATTTTCTTTATTACGCAGACAAGAATTATGTTTGATAGCGATTCACAAATTAACCCGAATGTATGGCGGTGAAATGCACAAGAAGCGCCCGACTACCGGGCAGGGCTGCCAACACGTAAAGTCAAAATTTCCCTAGCAAATGCCTCAAATTACCCTGCTTCCGCCAAAATTTCCCTCGCTTGCCCAAATAACTAAATAATACTAAATATTCGTTGTTGTTTTTTTGTTTTGTTTTTTTGTTTGCATTACTTTTATTTTTGCGATGATAGATGTATTATGTAGACTTTATGTCTCACGTATGTTTCGCAAAAATGAGTTCATTGGGCCAACACCGTGGCCAAAGCAAGTCTGGGGAAGTGTTACCTGGAGGTTCAAACTGACGAAGGAGACCCTATCTTCACCTTAGATGTGATGCACGCCATCTCAGCTTTGTACTGCTTAATAAGTTCAATAGCGCTTACAAAAAGCGTAACACAAGGCACAGTTCTCGAACTCGAACACAGGGAACATGACACATACTAACTACTATTTCGTGCACGGCACTTCATGAAATATTATTAGTCATGGTAGGTCTGTATCTCCACACATCGCAGTATTTCTTCTTGCACTCAGGCTTTTTTTTTTTTCCGAGAAGCCATGCCGGTGCTCTCAGAAGTTTGCACTTAGCTGATCCCTTCCTCCATAGCTTTCACAGAGGCGATGAAAATAAGTGAAAATTGATTCTGCCAAAAAAAATTGTTAGAGTGCTCCCAGATGGTCCCACAACAAACTGCCAAACGCTGGAGAGAATAGCCTAAATGTAGCCAAAGCCGCTAAGATTCAATGTCATCTCTAAATAAAATCATATTTGACCTATGAAATTCCAGATATATACAAAGTTCCCTCAAACTAGCAAGATTTTCCTCGTTACCACATAGACCTGAATATTATCTTTATCTCGGGAACTTCCCTCAAGTTGGCAGCCCTCCTACTGGGGCTGGCGGCACTTCTTGCAAGAGTCACTCCGCATTCCGCTAGAACAGCCGACGACTCACTCCCCGCGGCTTCCTTTAGCACAATTCACGGTCGTACGGCATTGTCAAGATCATGCTGGAGTGCTAACTATGTTTTCTGGTATTGACATGCGCGATCCAGGTAGTTTAGTAGGTTTTCGGTGCTCGTTTATGACCATTCTTCACCCAGAAGCAACCAACAACTGCGCTGTTGGAGGCATGTTCAACCTGTCGGAGCGGGTGATGCTCCAATGGAGTCTGCAATGGCGTGGGATCTTAAACTGTGACGGCGAACGAAGAGGTTTCCACAGGCCAAAGTCTGGATAGGTGGGGATGCCTTCCAGAATTGGAGGTTAGGCTTGCAACGTACGCCCCAAAAGTGCGCAATCGGTACCGTCCCGTGCCGCGCAACGCGATCACCCAGCAAGCGAGGAAGATGCAGTTGATGCTGTCATTTGCGAAATGCCAGGTTTCATTGGACGACGCCGACGATGTGCCTCGAGAACGTAGCAGTGATGACGACGGTACTGACATCACCAGTACGAATGAGTCGTAGTCTCGTCGCGACGGAGTGAGAACGACAGGGAGTAGCTTCAATTGTCCCGCCTCCAGCGCTTCCTAGTTTCGGTAACGCCTGGGCATCTCATGCACCTAGCACGTGCATGTGCAGCCAATTGCGTTGGCCAATTGCACCTAAGCTTTAGCGTCAAGTCCAACCAGCAGCCAAGAATGCCAAAGCTCCCAACTCTACCAAAATTGGATCCCTGGAGTGCAAATGGATCAAGGGAAAGGAGATGCGCGCAATGACCAAGTCCGCAGGGACATCTCTTATACACTCCGTGCGACGCGACTGGCGCGCCGCCGCGCGGCCGGTACCGAAGGTAGGCAGTGAGAACCCCAGAGAAAACGAAACCGAAACCACGCCGCGTACGTTGGCACGCATTGAAGTCGAAGCGGTGCGGTTGCGCTGGGTTCACAGCATGAAGTGCTGCCTGTGCTGCGTCATTAAGTGCTTCAATAGTTATGCGTCGTATCTCGTGGAGACAAAGTTTCACAGTTTTTCACCTCGCCGATGTTTTGTGGCACAGCGACAACGATGAAGCCGTGCCGTACGACGCAAGAAATTTGGTCTCCCGATCATGGCTGCCACTGTGTCGGCACGGCTGACATATTCTACACTGCCGCTTTGCGCTCTGCATTTGTTTGCGTATCAGTGACGCATGTGTCAGCGGCGATGGGACGAACTGAAGTGCCATCCCACACTCGCGGGTATGCAGTGCCAATTTCGTTGGAGGAATGCCCTCCAAAGAAGTTTCGTCCCCATCGTACGTGTCGATGATATTTCCGGACAAGTATGGCATGCAATCTGTACTTCATGAAGAAAGATTCTAACGCTAAAAAAAGTGACAAATATAAATCTAAAGAAAACAACAATGAAACTCGGAATCACTGGAGAATCGACGTTTGAGTATGGAAGTTTATGTGGTGTGCTTTCTTTCTTGATCAGCCTCCTTTTAAATGTGGAAACGCTGACACCCCGAGTTCTGTAGACAACATTTTTTTTCTTCTCGGCTTTAGAGCCACCTATCGCAAAGTGGTTCGAACTGGAAGTACCGTCTACCAGTCCCTTCCGACCTGTAAAGTGTGCACCTCCCACGATGAGTGGTATTACCTGACAGCCTTTGACGGTCAAAGCCAGTTCCCATTGAGTTACGCCGCCCAAATTAAATTTCCACCTGGTTTCGCTATGCCAACTCTTTTGGTTATAATATGTGTTGTGCCAAGTGACGGTCATGTCAAAGTACCTGTGCGCCGAAAATCAGCACCTCGCACAACAGGTTATTACACAACAGCTGACCGCAAAAGCCCTTGGCGGCCAAACCGTGTGCTGGCCGACAACTTTGCTTTCTCGGCTTTGAAACCACCTTTCGTAAAATTGCTTCAATTGGAAGTACAGTCCACTAGTTCCTTCCTACCTCTAAAGTCTCCACCTCCCCCGACCAGTGGTATTCTCTTGACAGCCTTTTCATGGTCAAAACCGGTTCCCATTGAGTTACGCCGCCCAAACCAAATTTTCACCTGATTTCCCTATGCCACCTCTTTTTTTTTTTGTATAATAAGTGCTGTGTCATGTTACTGTCAAGTCCAAGCACCTGTGTGCCCAAATCTGCACTTTGCACAGCCCGCTATAACACAACATTTTGGGTCCAATATTGGATATCCCGTACAGCTTTATTTCTTTTTTTGTTAGAAACATAACTTTCACGCCTGCTGTCCTAAAGAAACTTGGCACTCTTCGTGCACAAACTTAGTGAACATCTCACTCGCCTCCAAATATCATCGTTCCAGCAGTCCTAAGTTTACAGCGACGAGCGAAATAAATTTCGCACTCAGAGCAATTATGGGCGGCCGTCTTGTTTTTTGGGAAAATTGCTCCAACTTCTTTTTCGGCCGCGACTAGAGAAATTACCCCTAATAACGACTCAAACTCAATATATAAGAAGTGGAGAACAGAAAAATGCCCTTCTGCCCTAGCACTTATGCAACGTCACCCTCAACTTATGGGCTCAAAAAGCAAAGGTTTCGTACGTGCGCGCTTCCGCCGCCACAGCTTGGCATGCGAAAAGGCGCCGCAGGCTGCTGAACGCGCCTCGCAGTCGAACGCCAGCTCCTCCGCTAGCGGCGCTGCGCGCGTTTTTCAAAGCGCCCCCTATAGTTCCCGCACGGAGTGTATAGGACCAGTGACCACGAAAGCAACGAATGGAAACTAGTGACGCAAAACTATCGATAAGGTCACAAAACTATGAATAGTCGACTATAGAGAGTTTTTCGATAGTCAACTATTTGATAGCATTATCGATAGTTTTTCGATAGTCAGATTTCTTGCGACTATCGATAGCTTTGCATTACTAGAGCGGACACAGTTGCTGCACTGCCGCTCGCCTCCCTTAGGCCTCATTCACACAGCCGCTTTTTCGCCCCGCCCGGCGAAAACGCCGGCCGTCCTTTTCGCCAGGGGAGAAGGTGTTGGGACCGGTTTCCGTCCGAAATCGGGCCGAACGAGGATGTTCAACGTCCCCAGCACCGGCAGGAGACCGGGAACGCCGGCGCCCCGCCCCATCGAGGGACGGCCAATCACAAAATTGGAAACTTTTGCTGAATCTGGCGGATTCTCAAAAGTTGGGAGACCATGGGCACGGCCGCGGCAGGGGAAATTGACCGTACTGTGCCCTAACCGTCCTAACGAGCCGACGAAGTCAACAAAGCTCGTTTCGGGAAGGAGGGAGGCCAGCGAGACAACGGGCGCATTGTGTGATGTTTACGGCTTTTGAACAACGGGCATACAGAGATTTGGATTTACCGCTGAGCTGCTGCTCGAAATGGTGAGACCACATCAGTTTATTTGCGATAGACGTAAATGCGATTTTAAGGAAGAACAGCCGAAAAAAGAAAATGCGGTCGTCGATCATCGGGGACGAAATGCGGCGCAAGGAGTGATTGATGTAAAACGTGCTCGCGATGGGTCTTGTCGCTTTTGTTTCGAAACGTGGAGACAAATAAAATCCATGTTTTGAAACAAGCAAGATCGTTATCCGCGACCCAAACGCAAGCTCCAAGGAACAAAACAGTTGCGGCTGCGCCCATCGACGCCGATAGTCCGCTACATTTGGTGGTCGACGCCGCCACAAAGCAGCCACAAATACGGGATTAAAAGATTGGTAGTAGAGATCGAGGGAAGTGTAAAATTGCGCACGAAAGAATAGGATATACCTGCTATACTGTTTCACAGAATACAAACGTTCGACGCGAAATTCGATAGGTGCAGAAAGATTTCTAAGCTAGGTGGCTTAGAAGGGGGCGCAGCCGCCAGCATCCACCAATTGCTATAGCCACCGCCGGGAGCTCCGTCGCCGCTGGTTCGAACACTCCTCCGTTCCTGCACCGTCCCATTTTTGCACCGTCCCGGCGAAACGCCGGCTGTGTGAATGAGGCCTTACTCCTCTCTTCGCCCAAACTCCCGTCTTCGTCATCATTGAAAGCTGAACCAAAGTTGGGATGATAAGTACTTGGGCTAGTTGGTGTCCCATTCGAAAAAATAAAGCGAGAAAAAGAAGAGGGAGTGATGCAAACTACTAGTGTCGCAAAACTATTCATAGTAAGCCGTCGACAGTACTATTGGATAGGTTTACGATAGTCGACTATCGATAATATGATAGTCAACTATCGATAGTCAGATTTTTGGCGACTATCGATACTATCGATAGTTTTGCACCACTAATGGAAACCTGTACAATACAACGTTTCACTCAGTGTCACTCGCACAATTCTCATAGACCACAGTACAATCTTTTTAATAAATTCTCGGTTTATACCAAATTTACTCGCATAATGAACACTAGGGCTGTGCGAATAGTGGATTTTTAGTTCGAATCGAATTCGAAGCGAATAGTGATTTTGGTCGAATATCGAATACTTGCCGTTTAAAAAGCTTGGCCGTTTTTAGAGGGAAGTTCACAGAAATACTTCCAAACTGGACTTCTCACGCTGTCATTAGTCCATCTTGCCAACCGACTTAGCTGCCGTCATTTTGACAATGTCGATGTCATTCACTCACCTTGTCGCTGTAATATTATAATATTAATTCAAGATATTATAGTTTAAATGTTTTGAAACCGTGTTTATGAGTTATTCGTAAATAAAAGTTTCTGAGCAAGTTGTTTTTCTAAATTTATGTCTGGACGCGGCGGTGGTGAGAAAAGAGTGCTGGCAAGCAGGGCGCCAAGATTGGCGAAGATGGCGCCGGCGTCTCTGGAGTTCGTTGCTCGGTTCCTCTTGCCCGTTATTAAAGAAGTTGATGAAATAATTACGATGAAAATATTTCATACTTCCCACCATAATATTTATACCATTTTGCCGAACGTGTGAGCATATTCTTGATTTTAGATATCGTTTCTTCCTGGTCTTTAAACAGTAAACAAACTTGGGACCGTGAGTTTGCGAACACTTCGAAAAGCACGAATATTCCAACTGCTCTCGAAGCAAATATCGAATAGAGTACTATTTGAAACTACTATTCGAAATTTCGAATATTCGCACAACACTAATGAACACGCTTTTTTCCCCCGAAAAATTAACACATATTTGCGAGGTGCGTTCACTATGCGGGATGAAATTTTTGCATTCTCTGGCAGAGAGATGCCTCACCTCCGGGCTGCTACTGTTGGCGTCCCCTTCGGCAGACTTCTTCCAGAGCAGCCGGCGCTTCTGCATCTGCTCGGCGTACTTGAGGGGGTTCACGGCCGAGGGGTTGTAGTAGCTGGGCAGGGCGCTGCCGCTGCTCGCCTGGGTCAGGGCCAGCTGCAGCCCCGCGGGGCCGGGGGCACCCAGGGCCTCCACGGGCATCAGCCCCGACCGGACCGCCGCTGCACGCGCTGCCGCCAGGGCAGGCGACACGCCGGGCGGCATGGTGGTGGTCGCCAGGGCGGCGGAGGCGGTGGACGTCGGCGCCGCCGTGGTGGGCATCGCGGTCACCAAGAACTGCTGCGGGTTGGTGGCGGTGGAGGCCGGAATCGCTGCGGGACGAGGGCGTAAATGAGGCTATGGCTAGTGATCGCTACACACAAAAAAAGAAAATAGTTCCCGATTTTGTTTTGTGCTTTACCTTTCTTTATTATTTATATAATATTATTGCCTTTCCATACAGTGCCTTTTATGGTTTTATTCATCTTTTCACCACCTGGTTCCCCCCCTTTTTTTTTTCTTTATTCCTTTTCAGTTGAGTCTGTGCGTGTGTTGACGTCACGTGACCCGACGTCATATTTTAGCAACCACCCATTGACGCTGACACAGTAATGTCACGCGTCACCATGACTTTGTGCTAAGAGTCACTCACATAAGGTGGCATGGCCTGTCGCATGTAAGGTGTTCACATGACCCACAGCACACAAACCACGTGACCGTGGCACCTACAGTGGCACCCCTTTAAATTTCGCAAGATGTTAGCCTTCTAAAGTTGGCATAAGATGGCACACTACAGCTACACGAATCACTTCTTCGCATTTACTAAAACATTTTCTGGATTAAAATGGGGCGGAAAATCGGCTCACAGATGCTATCGTGGTTGGCTGAAAGTTTGCTGCCAAATGATAGTATATTCACTGGGGCCGCTGTTACTGCATGTGCTGCCACACTGCGCGTGCGAACGGTGAGCTACCACGACGTTTGGTTTACGCCATGAAAGCTTTCGGCAGACGATGGGCCACTTTTTTACATCCTCATGCTAACATCATCGCCATAATACGACCGACAAATGCAAACTTTCATTAATTAATAAAATATCCTTATTTACCAGGCAGCTGATCTGAGCAGCACTTAGCAATCCAGCTACACAAAATAAATACTCTCAGCATTTGCACCGACGCGCCAACCTACCTACACAAAAATAAATATTCCCGGTATTTACATTTCAAACAAACCAGGAAAGTGACCTCACTGAGGGCGAGAGACGAATTCGAGCCTCCGAGAACCTGCAACGTGCGGCAGACAGCTTGCCCCAACTCGGAACAGCAAAAGCGAGAATTCCAGAAGAGACTCACCCTCCGGCAACACCGTGCCGGTCTCCCGAATGCCCACTCCCGGAGCACGCAGGGCCGGCTTGGCTCCCGCCGGCCGCTCCGGGGGCGCCTTCGGGCTTTGGCTGCGGCTACGGCTCGAGCTCCTGCTGTGGCTCCTCCTCCTCCTGCGGCGGCCGCCATCGTCCAGGTCTCGGCTCCCGTGTCTGTGGCGACGGTGGCGGTGGCGGCTCCCGCCGGCTCGCTCCCGGCTCCTCGACCGGCTGTGGCGGGCCCTCCTCCCGTGGCGGTGGTGCCGGCGGTGGCGAGGGGGGCAGTCCTCCTCCTCCTCCGAGTAACGGTGGTGGGACCGAGAGCGCGAGCGCGACCGGTAGCCCCGCGGTCTCTCCGCATCCTGGGAAAGAGAGGCGTCTAATATGGGGGTAAAGGCAGGCGTGTGTCACTAGGGGCTCCCCGGTCAACGCAGTACGGCATTGTTCCAAGAAAAAAAAAGAAGAGAAAACGGGTTCTACGCCACTCCGGTTCGAAAACTGTCGAAAGAATGCGTCTCCACGTCCCCCGGCGGGAAGACGGACCTCTTTGGTGCACAAGCGTTCGGAAAGCCGGCCCTAACCCTTCGGTCTGGGGTCTACGCTCTCTGCGCCTCGTCGATTCTGGCTCAGGCACGAGCCGTTCTTTCTTTTGCAGTTTCCAACAGATCGAGAACGCCAGGGAGTTCTACCGGTTGTCCCGCCCCTAGCGCGAGCTTCCAACCTTCGATAGTGCTTGGGAGTCGCACAAGCTTTGATGGAGCAAGCACGTGCTGGAGGTCCGGTATTCGGAAGAGATGCCCCGCCATTCTTGTCTTGTCGGAGACCGTCAAGCGCTACGCGTTGCGTAGGCAGTCGTGATCGCATGCACTTTCCCCGGTGCTCCGCGACACTTCTGAAATACTCTAAAGAAAGGACGTAGGAGTATATAAGGGAGGCTGAATCGGGACAAGTCCCGATTCAGCCTCCCTTATTTTCGAGGTTACGCGGAGCAGCGACGGAAGGTGGATTGAAGCGAGCAATCTGCTGTGCCCGTTTCATCGAAATGTTGATTCTTTCCCACACTCTCTTTGAAACCTGCCGTAGTTTGTCGTGTACCTCAATTACCCCTTTTTTGACGTCGTAAGGTCTCAAAGAATTCTATTCCCCGAGCTGCCCGGGATATGCAAGAACTTGCCATATTGTCACCTGCTCTGCCGGCAAATCCCGAACTTCCTACTTGGATGTGCACCAAACGTGTCACGAACAAATTAACGGGGTATGCGGACGGCCAAGGAAGGGAGACGCGCTTTGTGAAAAGCTGCATATTGTGTTTTTTTTACTGTTTTGAAAAGCCCACAAACCAGTAAGAGTACTGAGGTATAATGTAATAACACTCATGTTGCGAGGCAAGCATCGGACTGGGTTGTGAGGCAAAGAGCCGGTTAGTTTTTGCGTGGAGACTGCATCGGGACATTTCGTTTAAAACTCTAGATGAGAAAAAAAAAAAAAAAAAAAAGAAAAATGTAATAGCCCGGTGAGGCCAGGCACTACCGGAGAGACCGGGAGACATGACAAAGGCCATCTAATGGGTTTGTTTCAATACCTATGAGGCACTGACTGCCCTCACAATTACAGTCAGAGCAAGAAAAGGAGTACTGAAGTGCCCTGACCTGTTACAAAGTTACTAAGCTGATCTTTCAGTTACTAGACATAATAAGCTAAAGTAGACATGGCACTACAGGAAGCAGGCATCATCGAAAAACATTTGGGAATAGGGTAAAAGCGGCGTTGCCGAGACATTCACGAAAAACAAAAAAAGGAGACAATGAGAGGAGGTGATACATTGCATTTACCGTGAGCAGCACTACGTACCTTAGCCCCTCTATGATGCAGGTCATCCGCCTGTGGTCGACAGTATGACGGTGCCAATCTCAAGTTGTTTCTTGGGTAGCAATGGTCATACAAGACGAGTTAATACCGAGAGAACTCCCAAGAATGCATAACTATTCTTTTTTTTTTCTCAAACTGTTACAAGAAACAGTCATAGGCTGCACGATTACACAACACCTAATACAGAACACTCACGTGCACTGACGAGACTTACATCCCTCAACCAAGATACATATCAGCATTGAGGTGCTTTGCCCTTACGATGTCATGGTACTGATAGCGAATACGATAAGGAATTCTTGACTGAGGAAGACAATCTAAACAACATGGGAAATACACTGGAAGCAGACTGCAACCACAAAGAGCTTAGCAAGCGCCCCGTCCTAGTAGCTAGCCCCAGCACACGGTAGGATGTTTTACTGCGTCCTTTTTGGCATTCCAACGACACTACCCGAAATTCTGCCACAGCCTCCGCACACTCTTCGTGTCGTCATCGAGTATTGTTATTGGGACGCAAAAACTACCTACTATCGGGGAAGAGACCCAACCGCTGCGGCCCGAGTGGCTAATATTAAAACTAATCCCACGAGGACAAGAACAACAATGACGCGGTGCTCGGCCGACGTAGCCGAACACTCCGTCAGCGTTCGACTGGGGCTCGAATTCTCCCCTCGCCCGAGAAGGAGCTCTTTTGTAGCTACTCCGGCCTACGTGAACAATGCAGCATGCATGTGTTCGGCACCTGCTCAGCACAAAGGATAAAGGGGATCAAGCTCCCATTCTTGGACGTCTCCTTTAAACAAAGATCCGGCTTCCGAAGTCCCGCCAACATCACTCTGTTTATGGCCGACTCACACGACAAACCACACCGCTACTTTCGTCTCTATGAACTGACCGTGTACATAACCGTCACGTCATTGATTCCTGCGATCCACGCCTCATCAGCAGACATGCGCCTCTTCACTTGCGGACTTTAGGCGGACGATTGACTTGAAAAGCGTTTAGTCTGGTGACAGTACAAAGGTTTCTTTGTTGTCTCGTCTGGATAATTAAAACAAAGACGACACATCATTGTGTTTTGTGCATTCGCTGGTTCATTTTGTCCCGCAATTCTTGGTTCGACGCATGAAAGAGGCCACAGAATCTTTGCACAGCTGACGCGACACAGGTTCCTGTACTCCTCCGGGTCCACGTCAAGAAGCTTCTGTCAAAATTCGTCTAGCATGCGGCAATCTCTTTTGCACGTCCAATCAGCCTTTCACCCAGCAAGACTTTTCTTGTGGCTGTAGCGTACTCAAGTGTTGTGGGCGAGCGCAAAACGCGCGAAGGCATCTCTAGACGCTCCTCCGCGAGCCCAGGACCTCTTCACCTCTATGCCAAAGCCTTTTCAGCAAGACCATGTCTGTGTCAGTCATGCCTTGGGTTAGTAAAGCTTGTGGCACCTTGTGCTGAACCTATTACAGTGTTCAGTTTCACTTTGTCCGTAACAGCGGTGCACAATTCTTTATCGCAGATGTGAAATTCGGTTTCCCTCTTAGACAACAATGCCACAGTGCGACATTGGAGTTTCGAGGCATTTTGGGACCGCAAACAGGTTCGAGCCATCCTTAATGTCGTCTGCTTGTCATCTCCTCCTTCGTCTGGATGCGCCTAGGTGACGGACCAACCGTAGAAGCGCCGCCACGTGACCAATCCGTCTGCGGATCAGTTTGTCATGTGAATCGGCCATTACTGCGGGCACTTTCTACGTCACACTCTACCCCGCACTCCATCCAGGGAGACAACGCAAAGAACCAAGTCTACAGGCCTCATGTCGGGTAAACACCGATCTCCAAGGAAAACAGGCTAGACGGACCATCCCCTATATATATAGTCAGACTTCCTCGCCAACGGTCTATTGCAGGTTTAGAACAGCAGGACAAGCCTATTCTATGCTGCCCTCTGATCACTACGATTGGAGGTTTTCTCCTCTCCAGCCAACAGCCCCTAGACAACTAGGCAGGAGGGCTGAATTTTCAACATACCCTAAAGAGGCAAATGCAGGGCCAGGATTGGACACATCATAGGCGTTCGGCTAAGACTCGTGTCCTTACTGATTGTCCAATCCGTGTCCTCCATTCACCTCTTTAGTCAAGGCTGGTTCATACTTGCGCGTCGACTATGTTCCGCTGCGTTGCGTCGTGCAGCACAGCACCTTCCCATTGGTTCGTCATAACTGCTGCCATAGCAACAGCTCGATGCAAGCAGTCTTAACGAGGCCGAAGTGGTTGTAGTCGCACTCAAATGCAAGTGAGTGAACGAGCCTTTATATTGGAGGTGTTGCTCCAGTGGGATGAGCCTGTCCTGCTGTTCTACACCTGCGACAGACTAACACTCCGTTCAGCCTTTCGCAAGCAGACGGAATCCCACCTGCTGATGTCACAACGGGCTCGAGGTCAATCAAAACTGGGGAACACATAGAAGCGTCTCATCGGAAAACAAATCTAGGCCGTGACAAGCGTGCACAGGTTACCGCAGCTGTAAACAGTCAATTTTCTTTCTTTGCCAATACCCAATCGATCAATCGAAAACAAATATAGCATAATCGCTTAAGAATCTTTTTTTTAAGAGTGGCACGCACTGTCAACGATTACGGCCTTACATTTATGCGCAAGTATTAGAGCAAAGGAACATGCTGGCTGCTAAAACTACAGATTTGTCTTTTTTTAGTGTCCGCTGCGGACTGGATGGCAATCAACATAATAATAACAACAAATCAAGAACACGATTAAGAAATAAAATTGGGTTATGTTGCAGTGAAAAGGCCTACCATCCTTGAACCAGACCCGGACGATTTCTCAGTCTTGCCCGGGGAGTTTTTGGTCATTTCTGAAAAAAAAAGAAGAAAAAGTGACTATGAACTTTTAGGAAACGATGTTTTAGACAATGCACTAAAAAAAAAAAAAAAAGAGAGAGACATTGACCGATCATATATTCCGCTCCAAACGAATTAGGCTTAAGAGTGGCAGAGGCATATTCTGCCGCTACTACGTGAAGGAGGATTATCATGAGTACGCTGAAGTAGAAAAACGATCTTATGCAGATTGCAGTCCGTCTTAATTGGCATTGACACGAAACTTGCCTCTTTAAATACACAGTTTGCGTCGGCTCCCGAAGCAAATTATCGCTACTGGCAGCAAACAGCACGAACAGCCATGAGCCAAACAACGAAAGTGGATAGGTGAATACGGTGAATACCATGATGAAGATGGTGAATACCAACGTTGGTGAATGCACATGGCTGCTTACTGAAAATTGGACTATAATTGGACAATGACTCCCGTCATCTGTTGCCAGTAATTGTAAACTTTGGATGACATTGAGCAAAGTGACGTTAAACAAAAATTAAGTAATGTTGTTACTTCATAAAATAACTGTTTTAAAATATTCGCATTATTTTGTTGTACAAAATTATACATATAATTTTTTCTTACAAATCAGGCATATATTTTGATTTAATTTTAACTCTGCCCAAACTAAACGAATTAAAACACTTTTAAAAATACCACTACTTCAGAATATTGTCCAATTTGTTTTTATTCTCGTCATTTTATTAAGAAGCGCCTGCGTCAACTGCGCCTGCGCCTGTAACGGCAGTGACGGCAGCGCAAGATTCAAAATGGATGTTCACAAAAGATGCCATCGAGCTTTGGACAAGCGCTGGCGCACAATCGAGAAACTGCGTGAGCTAAATAACCTCCAACAAGCGGTGGTAAGATGGTTTGCCCGTTTTTAGAGTCCCTATTTTCTGCTTCACGTTTTATGTTTCGGTTTCGCGGCCACGGTAGCGTTCCGGGCGCGCACTCAAGGGCCTGCTTTGATATCTCTAGGAACACAGGCAGGAGCAGTGGCGTAGCCAGGAATTTTTTCGGGGGTAGATGGCTGGGATGTCTATGACTTGGGGTACGGAGAGGGAGAAGGGAAGGAGGGGGGCGGGGAGCTAAAGCTTCATTAGCCTCCTGGCCACTGGGCGGTAGCTCTATGCTAGAGCCTTTTAAAGCTTCGGGCACACTGCCCATACATCAAACAAGAGACAGTATGCAAACACTATCCGGGGTATGCTTTTCCTCGTGTGCTTTCAGATTGGTCACGCAAAGACTGTCTCCAGACAGTTTTTTTTTATTATTTTGTACAATTGTATATATATTGTAAGAGTGCATGGGTCGGTGTTGTGGGCTCACTAGTTGCATGGGCGTCAGCCTTCCCCCAACACCAGCACGCCTGTACATTTCTACCTCCCAAGTACAATAAATAATATCAATATCAAAATGTATGAAGCAAACGTGTCTGCAGGTGTCATCGTGTCTGCTACAAACAGCATGTCTTCTGTAGGATGTACGAGCAGTGAGACTACAGCTCAACACTTCTCTGTCACAGTGCAAGCTCCTGGTGGCGATACCGCTTCTATGCGTAGCGCAAGTTTGTCTGCTTTTCGCGCAGGGGTTGCGGTGATGTCAGAACGCCAAGCTCCGATGGCTCTGATTGGAAGGGCAGTGGGTAGGCCTTGGGGCGTTCAGCATTGAGGTCTACCCATTGGCCTTCCAATTGGAGCTCGGCGTTCTGACTTCGCCGCAAGCCCCGCGCAAGAGGCAGACGAACCAGCACACGCCCGTTGCCTTCTGTAGTGCTTAAACAGTGTGTGCACGTCGAAACTCGCGAGACGCCCAAGTGCTATCGAAGGTGGGAGGCCAGCACTGGAGGCGGGACATCTGGAAGACCTCTGTGCCATTCTCATCCTTTCAGTAACTATATATAGGGCTGCGCAAAAACCCTCGATTCCCACTTTCCTTTGTCGGCTTCAGAGAATGAGCTCCCATACTTGCTTGCAAGCTTCCAACCTCTAAATCCGGGGGCCTTCTTTTTTGTAGAACAGGTACTGAAAACACGCTTTGCAGCTAAACAGAAAGAAGATCAGTCTGAAAATTAGGTCAGCCAGCTGCGCAGGGCCCGTGGGAAGGCCGAATGAACATTAAATGCGCCTGCAAACTGGGTGTAATCGGTGTGATCCATATGTCACACCCCCAAACTTTGTTGCACTGACCAGAGTGAGGATCCCGAATTAATCCTCGGTGCAATGCTGGTCACCTTTGTGTTTATGTAAGCAAATGTACTGGCCTTGTAGATATAATCTCACAAAATTATATTCGCAACTCCAGCAACCTATAGGGGGCGCCACCTCGGAACAAACATGGCGGCTGGGAACAGGTCGCGTTGTGTCGGTTGGGCCGGCTGAACGGGAAGTGCATCGAATTGAGCAGATTTTCTTGGCTTCATGCCTTATTTTCTAGATGTTTGAACTGCGACGGCTAAGTGTGCCCTGTGCACCTGAACTGCAGGTTATACTTTTATTTTCCCTGTGCTGTGTATTCTTTTCATACCAAACTTTTGTTTCAGAGATTTAGGTTGAAACAGAAACTATGCGCTCTGGAGTGGCGGAATTTACATCTAATCAGTTTTCAACGGATAACAACGGCGGCGATGGCTACTGAATTGTGCCAACGAGCATAATTTTCGGCTAGCTCGCTTGCCTCGACTATGCAATTTATCTGTCCGCGAAATCAAACAAAAATCTTCAGGCGTCAGCTCGGACAAAAACACAGGCTGTACAAAAATTACGAAAATTAGGCAAGATTCCTTGAGCCAAGAAGCATGTTTACAAGCTAGAGCCCTACTTCAGTCTACATCACGGACTCATTCTGACGAATATTCTGCTTATGTATGATCCTACGTATTTTGTCCCACTAAAGCAATATTAGCATATTTTTTTTATTGAAATTTGAACTTAGTTGCCTAGCTATTAGGTGTACTGCAGAATAAAATGGATTTTACCAAAAGTGAGACAGTACTTCAACTCAACCAAATGATTCTAGCCGGCAACACGAAGATGAACGTGGACAAACTGAAGAGACGGTCTCCATCGGAGATTCACGCAGACCTCACCTGGCATCAAACTTGACTTCGAACCCTGAACGGGGACATTGAGTAAATTGCGGACAAATAATATTTTATGGTCAGACAACCTAAAAAAATGTAGGTCATATTGCTGCTGGTTGCAATGGGGGCATCGTATAAATTTTAGAGGCGCAAGAAATTGTAACGTTGTGACAGATTTCTGACTTTGATAGATGCGTCCACCACCTTTTCAAAGCAGACTCTTGCCCCCATTAATCGTATGCAGTGGTCAGGTTTTCCAAAGACAGGTAATCGCAAAATCGTCTCAACTTCTTCAGTGCGCTCGAGGGACTTTTTCGGCGAGGAGCAGCCAAGAGGAATAGCCAATGCACCGACCGGTGTGGGTGACGGCTCCATTTGCTGGCTAAGCAATCAGAACCAAACTCTGAAAAGCAGCTATTGAACCTTCGCTTTCACTTGATTGCAACACTTGTATCCCCTCCAGCAAAACACGGACTCATTTGCCCCCAGTCTGCTGTTCTGCATCACTATGAACAAATCACTTATCAGCTGGCAAGTAGTCGTCACTTTAAATGTGATTCGAGGCAGAAAAGCACTCAAGCCCTCTCTTCGTGATTCCACCCTATCCAAGAAATCGAAAGCATGCGACCGTGCGTTCTGGAGTAAGCGGGCTTTCAAATACGTAATGGAGGAAACCAATCTACTGAGGCTTCACCTCACTAATGAACAGTACGGCACAACTGAGGAATATTCAGGCTTTTGTCAATTTACATTGTTCCCCACTGCGCCGACAACATGTGTCCGCAAAAGCCGCCAGAGATGTGGAGAGGCGCAAAAGCGGCCTTTTCCAGCTGGTTCCCGGTTTTCCCGCTATGTGCCATCTATTTTGCTGCAGTCGCGAATACTTCGCAACCCTGTTCAAGGCCAGTGTTTTTTTCCACAAATTCTGGCATCCGCTTTGATCTGCTGGTGTTCTTGGTTTCGGTGTCAGGGCTGCTGGAGCATCGCATTTGTGCGAGAGCACATGCAAATGAACCGTAAAATTGAGGCACATGCTTGTGCCGGTAGCTTTAAACAAATACTACAAGGAAATTTTGGTGCTTATTTCTTGGTTTCTACTTGTTCAAGGGAGCAGTATCACATCGGACACACCAATCTATTGTTGAAAAAGACACAAAAACAGATCTTAAAATGAAGTAAACGATTAGCAAAGGGCACTTGGTGGATGTCGCTAAAGCCTCGTTCGTAATGTCCGTCTAGGAACCTCGACAGACAATGACGATGCCTGTCTCGCCTAGAACTATACAGGGGAAGGAGGAGCTCTTCTCTCACTGGGACATTCTTTTGTGTGTCCCAGACATCTCCATTGTCCCTCTACAAGGCTATAGGAGATTAACCGATCATCAGAATTCATACAAAAGCATCTTCGGGGTTAGTTGCGGTGGCCAGATCACTGACGTGCTTCGGCAGCTTTGGTAGCTGGAACGGCTAGGGCATCCTGTCGATGTCAGCATCACAGCAGTTTTGTTCGTCCCGAGACAATTTCCGTCACGATTGCACAGGATGTCATGTGCTCTCTGCTGGCTGCTGTCCTAGCACTTGCCAGAGTGGGCCATTTATGGCGAAAAATACACCGTCAATGTGCTATTGTTATTTACGGTTGTTGTGGGTGACATTCAGCCTATTTCTGAACACGACAGGTATATTTCAAATTTTGTTAAAGTATTCCTTTGAGCAGGGCTCTCAAACTTTTTGGCCTCACGGAACCCCAGGAAGCCCCAAAAACTGCCGCGGGAACCCCCTCCCCCCCCCCCCCCCCCTCCATATTTGCCGACCAAGAAGCAA